AAAATTTTGTGTTAAAAGGCATTTGCCAGATTTTTCTTTTTTATCTATTGAAGTTGGACCTTAGAACCCAATTTCCCTTGTACCAAACTTTTGTTTCTAATATGTCAGCAGAAATGTCCTTTAAGTTATGTAGTCTAATTCTTCACAAATACACTTTGTAAGGCTGTCCTCAATGCATTATCCTAACGTGGCTTGGCCCAGATAACATTCTGTGTGCGATGCTCCCGCTTGGAAAAATCTGCTCTTTTTAACAACTGATTCAATAAACAGTTGACAAATGATTTGTATAATAGAGTATGGCCAGCAAGCAAGGTTTGTCTCTGTCATTACACAACACATTCGACCCATCTGCAAACGTGGCCGTGTTCCCCTTACATTAGAGCTCCATATGCCATTCTGAATAGCTATCTGAAGATCAATACACTGTCTGCCGAAAACAACAGGACATAACAAATGAATAATTTTATTTATAATAAAAGCTCCAGTCCCCAAATGGATTCCACTAATGTTCAAATTCATTTTTCATGCTGAACTCAAGAAGAGAGGTAGACACAGCCCGATGCAAGGGGAGGGGAGTGAAGTATTAACTATATTGGCTCAAATTTTTTCAAGCCACAAACAATAGCTGGGCTGCACCAAGGTACATGAATAAAACGTTCGCCGCCGAATTCTGAAGATGCAATCTCCAAAATGCTTCTGTTCTCTCACCAAGACTCGCTGAAAAGCATTTTCCAGTAACAAGAAATTAATGGATTAAAGACATTCTGACATATGCTTCCACCGTGTTGTACCACAGAAGCCAAAGCCTATTCAATAGGCTTTAAACACTGTTTGCAATGAGCAGGAGTGTTTGCTTTAGGTGGGGACAAGGAGGGGTTGTGGCTCTTTTGAGAATGAAGCAAATAGTCTTGCTTCAAAAACCTATCTGCAGTCCCTGATCTTACAGTTTTTTTCCCTCCTCAGAAAGGTATAAAAAAGTCAGTGAGCAAAGTCCAAAGGAAAAAAGGGTAGAAGAGGGGGGAGCAAAATGTTAGAGAGAATGCAAGTTCAAAGATGACATTTACAAGTCTCTCTTGAATGGCACACTCCCCAAAGGCCACCTGAATACTCTTGTTAAAAAGAGATCATCAAAAATACAAAACACAATTTTCCGGTTCACATAAGATAGCAATATACTGCCCTTAAAATACAGACTTGTCCATTGGCCAATTAACACGCAAAAAAAGAAAAAAAATGGAAAAGGGTCTTTTCCCATTCACTGCATTTAGACTTAACTCAGCACACTCATAACAGAAAAGTAAACAGGATTGTAACTGACAGAGCATGTAGGGAAAGTTGGGAAAATACAGCTTGAATAAGATACTAAAAAATCTGGAATAAAATGGTGACAAGACAGGGCTTTGTGCATGGGAAGACTGAAAAAGCAGGATTTCAGTCTTAACTGAAACTATCCACATGCTTCTCATGTTTACAGATTCACTTTAAATTCAGTCAACATAATACTTTTGGGTACTAAGAAAACGAGAACGTGCAAAGAGTAGGTTTTGCCCCCACCCCTTCTCAGGAACTAATGATTCAGTGCAGAGACAGACAGGAATGAACACATTTCTGGTCTGATGCAGACTGGGATCAGCGTTTGGCATGATGCCTGGAACAGAGTAGCTCAGTAATAAACTGTTGAATGAATCAACATGACAATAAGGAACCAAGTGTCACACAAAGGATGGAATATTTTTTTCCTAAGAGGGCAGAACAGGTATCGATGCACTTTAGCTGAAATGAAAAGGATGGGAAGGATCTCAAGGTGAAGAGAGAGGCAGGGGGTAAAGGATGGGGAAAAAAACAAGTAAAGGGAAATACACTTGTTTAAGGAAATAGTTGAAAAGTGGGGAGGTTGAGTCAAGATAATGAAAATCTTTTAAAAGGATGCTAAGGAATTTGGACTTTATCCTCAAATAAAAGGAGATTCATTATATTCATCAATGGTTTGTTTGCAAAAGAACAGGAGAGTGGTAGCATCGGAGCTGTGGTTTAGAGTGAGGTGTAGGCTGGGCTGGGGAAGTCCAGGGGTAGAGATGGTACAAGAAGCTAGATGACCTAGAAGACCCACAGCAAGGGGCTTACCCAGGGCAGGTAGGGTAGAGCACTCGGGGATTAAAGCCCACTGCAGCCATCTCCCCATTTATTTTATGAAACATTAGTGGGCAGAGCCATCCACAGCTTTAATTCCCAAATCTCGGGACAAAAGAATATTGCTTCCTGCAAGCGAATGAGTAACTTATTAAGATTCTTCTCACAGGTGTCACCTAACAGAGTACCAAGGTAAAGTAAAATATAAAGCTTCAGAATCATCATATAAAAAGGATTGCCTGAATCCATTATCCACTGGTCCTGAAACCACTTTTTTAAAATTTATTTTATTTTTTATACAGCAGGTTCTTATTAGTTATCTATTTTATACATATTAGTGTATATATGTCAATCCCAATCTCCCAGTTCATCCCACCACCCCGCCCCCTGCTTTCCCACCTTGGTGTCCATACGTTTGTTCTCTACATCTGTGTCTCTATTTCTGCCTTGTAAACCGGTTCATCTGTACTGTTTTTCTAGATTCCACATATACGCATTAATATATGATATTTGTTTTTCTCTTTCTGACTTACTTCACTCTGTATGACAGTCTCTAGGTCCATCCACATCTCTACAAATGACCCAGTTTCATTCCTTTTTATGGCTAATATTCCATTGTATATAGGTACCACATCTTTATCCATTCACCTGTCGATGGGCATTTAGGTTGCTTCCATGACTTGGCTATTGTAAATAGTGCTGCAATGAATATTCGGGTGCATGTGTCTATTTGAATTATGGTTTTCTCTGGGTATATGCCCAGTACTGGGATTGCTGGGTCATGCCCTGAAACCACTTTAAACACTGTAGATGTAAAACAGCTTTACAGAGTATACTGATTACAAAAAAGTTCCAGTTCTCACTGCTCTCATCCCCAGAAAGGGCCGGGTCCTTCTTGCTACCTTCCAAACACACTGAGATTTGTTAATTTTAATACAATGTTCCCCTTGTCCTTGACATTTACTCAAGAGATGGTGACTGACCAGGACTCATTTCCAAAATGACAATCCCAGTGCCGTCTGAAGCAAAACTAGTCATTATTCACTAACTGTTCACTATGAACATTTTCCTTGAAGTAGACACCTCAACTTTACTTGAGTTCAAACACATATGTGACCCATCTATGCATCACACTTTCAGAGTTGGTTAAAAAGACCGTGAAAAATCAAGTTTCTTACTATCAAGAAACAAGTTAAAAAATCACAAAGCAACGTTCATTCCATTATTAACCATGTTTTTAAAAGTGCAACTTTGCAACTTCATATTCTTTCAGTCCAAGGCATTAAGATTTGTTCATCTCAATTCACATTTTCATCCCAAGTTCCCTCAGTTCCCTGACAAAAGTCAATTAAAAATGGCACCCAATGAAAGATGGCATTTAAACAATATTCTTTCAACACTGGAATTCTCAGACATTTTGCTTAAAAAAATATTCCTCAAAGGAAAAAGGCAACCACAAACTTGCAACAATATCAAATGAGAAAATAAAATTATTCTGTTATTTCAAGAACTTCAAAGTCTTTTAGAAAAACTCAATATAAAATTGGTATACAACTTAAAAATTGTTGTTTTTTATCCTTTCTAAATCATTCTAGTTTTTTTACTTCAATAAACAGAAGAATGTAATTTTCTAATCTTGTATACTTATAATTTTAAATATTTTTATAAACTTCAGGGTTAAGTATTATCAAGAAAAATGTATATATTATTTACTAGTTTATTGCTATCATCATTAGTTTTGTAGATTTACAAAATTTAGGTTAAAATTTCCATTCAAGGAATTTGGGAGTCTACCACAGAAATCACAGTTACCTTTTGGTGCATGTTTTGTTAGCTGTATTTTTTTCAGTGTACAATAGTTACATGGCCAAGAAAGAAGATTATTCATAAAGTTTTCAAGCATTTTGAAAAATCCCATTGGAAAAAATATAACTTACACTGGAAAAAAATTTGACACATTTATAGATTCAGAATAACTGAGAAATCTATTTCAAAGTAGAATCATGCCTCAATGTGGACATGATCATTATCTTCGAATGTGAAATTTCATACTTTGTTGCCCTCTGCATAGTAAATTAAATTAGGGGGGAAAGAGAAAAAAAAATTCTGAGGAGTCAATACAAATGTCATATGCATACAGTCACGAGGGATAATTTCAGTAACATAAAAATAACTCTCCAGAGCATTTCACCAAATCCTGCTTCTCCCACTGCAAAGAATGAAGCTTCTACTGAAACTGATGGTCAGATGGAAATAAAATACACTACCACCAATGACACTGGGCAATTATCTAGAAGCTGGGATGTTTTCCAAGAGAAAATGCCATCTCAGACCCTAACATGAAAAAAATATTTTGTAGGTATACTTATGTGTTTGAATTTAATTAAAATTCATAGCTTGAATGATCTCCAAGAGGTAAACAAACCAAGTCAGTCTCAAATCTTCATATAATCTTCACATAACCTTACTTCCACATCACAAGAGGGCCACCCAATCTCTATCTTACTATTAAAATTCCCAATTGATAACTGAAAACAAAGTGCTCAGGCTATTCATTGGATCCATTTTAGAAGCACCTATTTATTTACACAGCTATGATAGTGAAAAGGTCAAGCAAAAAATCACCTCCAAAGCCACGGTTGCTAAGCAACTCTTTTCAGAAGTTCTGCAACAGTGATCAAGCATATTACTGGTGCCACCAACTGGATTCAGAATAAACATGAATAACATCTTACCTGGTTTCTCCAAAGCGGGAGCGGGGAGGATCCTTGCTTAGCTTTTCGGACAGATCCTCGAGGTCAATCCTGTATTTATTTGGTCTGTTAGAATCAGAGGCTTTCTAATTTTTCTCTCTTTAAAAAAAAGGATACGTCCAGGTACCACAGGTTTCCTGTTCACCAGGGCGAAGGACAGTTCTGTTTTGAGAAACACCACAGAGGGCTTGATGAGATGTTGGCCGAATCTGAATGACATTTCCTCACGGTTTGAATTCTGGAAGAGAAGATGATGCAGAAAATGGACATTTATAAAATTCAGTTGAGAAACTCAGATCATATACCACTTTAAAGAAAACAAAGTCCATTACTACAGATTCTTAGTTGTAAAGAAGACATCATTAAGGCTGTTCCCCATTTAATGTCCACTAAGATGTATTCTGGGTAAGTCCTCCTAAAATATTCCACTCTCTCTATGCTGGTTGGATTTACAGTTTTCAAGCAAAAACTTGTATGTGTCTTCTTAAACCCCTCTGCACTTCGGGGAGCCACCTTAACCCAAATCCACTAGGTCCAATCTGTCAGGTACTATTTTTAACCATCTGTTCCATCATCTTCGCTAAGCTGAACATTTTTATGGTTAAGCATTGACTATAAACCTTCTCATTCTTAAATAGGTACCTGTGGGGACTCCCTTTTCTCAAATGGTTTTATCTTTGTTTATATAAAAGCAATTTAGAAAAAGTATAAACACTGTTTATAAACACTTGTGTATAATTACAAAAGCATGTGCGGTACTCCCAGAGAACTACAGTAAAATTTCAAAACTTAAAGCGAAAAAAATTGAGGAAAAAGAAGGGGCAAAATAGAGTTCAAGATGAAAACAATTCCTGGTTGATGCAGACGTATTATGCAGCAAGGTATGTGAAATGTTGCATATCCTCTTTTCTGGAGAAAGCCATGGGTTGGGGTAGTGGGGAGAAGACAGGGGAAAGCAAGATTTGACACTTGGCATCTAGGGTACCAAGGAATGTTTTTCCATCAGTGCCTATACATGACAAAGTTACTTTCTGAATGACTAAAACGCACCTTCCTTGGGAAATCACTTCATTTTTCTAATTCAGGAACCATCCTACTACAAAACTGATGAAAATTGAACCCCTCATGGGAAAATAGAAATAAGACTACAAAAAGAATGACATCAGAAAATGGAGAACCATTTTATAAAGCATACCAATAAATGTGCAATTGTTTAATGATGCTAATATTCTCAATGACCCAAAAGATAGAGGGCTATGCAAAATTCATCTACTTTAGAAGCACTCAAATAGCCGGAGCTTAACACATTTCAGGTACAAAGGAATAGTACGGAAGTTTTGCCTCAGTGACACAAATACTGGTTTCTAGAACAATTACAACCATCTCACAAAAAAGAAAGGTCAGTAAGGAGGTTGAAAATCATCTAACCCAGTGGTTTTCAAGGTGTGTTCCCTGGAGCAGTAGCATCAACATCACCTGGGGAAATCAGAAAGGCAAATTCTTGAGTCCTACTCCAAACCTATCAAACCAGAAACTCTGGGAGAAGGGCCCAGAAATCTATGCTTTAATCTGCCTGGATGATTCAGAACCACTGATCAAACCCAACTATTCTGCCAATCCTTTCCTGCAGAATCTTTGCCTGGTAGCTTGTTAGCCCATGCTTGAACATACTCAGTGACAGGACATTCACTATCCATTCCTTCCAAGATTATCAGCTCCAGCAGTTATATGGTTGCCCTCCATAGTAAGTCCATCTTTTTGTGATGGATTTATGCCTTGAGGGTTATATGAAACAAGTATCATGCAAGTGAAAGTGCTTTAGATATCTGAAGTTAACCTTTATTTATTCCCTCCAGTTTTTCTAGAATAAACATGCAATTCATTTCAATCATCCTACAAACAGCATTGATTCAAGTGCCCTAAAGCTATCTGTGTGGTTTATTTTTTATTTTTTTTTGCCTGCCCAGCACCCATTTTCTGTAGTTTTGGCCATATCATCCTAATTTTTCTGTGGGTAATACCCCACCATATTCCATATGTTGGGCCACTCCTACTGCCTGGTTCTAGGGATGGGAAAGTGACCCAGGCATCAGTAGTCTTTTGTCACATGAGTGATTCAGGAGTGGACACAGGACAAAAAAACGAGCTAATCAAAGGAAGGATATCCATGAAAGGATTACTGCTGATACTATGGGGAAAGGGCTTGCTTTCTTCTAAGATGCCAAACTGGTAGGACATGAACCTGGAAGAGCTAGAGGATACACCAACAAGAGGCTGTCTGATATTAGAGCCAACACGGAGGCTAGGAAAGCCAAGATACACAGAGACCCATACCTGACGACACTGTTTGAGCACCTGGATCTAATAGTGCTGGAAGGATTATATGTCCCTGAAGTTTGTTTCCTCTAATGGATAATTGTACAGAGTTGACTTAAGCATAGGCTCTAGCTGATGAGCTACTATTATGAGTCCATGAAAGACTCTCTTCTAGATTTCATTTTTCTTATCATCATTTTCATTTCTTCCTCTATGCCCTCGTTCCTTCCTCTCCCATGACAGGGCTTCATTTTTTAAAAATATAATTAATGTATTTATAAGCTTCACGGCAGTTTTATAAATATTTTATACATCAAACATACATAGGGCTCTTGTACGTACTTTTTAAATTTGTACAGAAGTTGTATCGTGCTTTAAAACTCATTCTGCCTTTTTCTCTCAACACTGTTTTACAGACTCATTCATGTTGTTATAAACAGATGTAATTTACTCTTTCTCACTGCTTATTCTCTCACTGCATTCCACTGTCACTTTTCTTGTCCATTCTTTTAGTACTGAAGAACTAGCTTTCTCCAGTCTTTCGCCACAAATAACACTAATGACCATACTTACATGTATTTCCCTGGGTGTCTAAGCTAGAGTCCCATTATTGGGTTTTAGCTTAGGTATTGATACATACTTAGATTTTTAAAAATATGCACCATTTTGCAATCCTTGAAGCAATACATGCAGATTTCTATTTTCCCACATCTTTGCCAACACTTGGCAGTATCTGATTTCCAAGGTTTATTGATAGGCAAAAGGCATCTTTTATTTTTAATTAGCTTGTCTCCAATGTGATATGTGTATGTGCACGTTTCTCCTATGAATCGCCAATTCGTACTTTGCCCTCTTTTGTATTGGTTTCTTCCCTCCTATTTTTGGATTTTTCTGGAGTCCCTTATATATTTAAATATTGATCTTGGTCTATTAAACATGACAGTTGTATTTTCACCATCTGTTAGTTTTTCTATTGTACACTCCATTGGACAAAAAGCATTCATCTTGATGTATTCAATTTTTTTAATGGTTTGTTCTCTGTGAATATTGTGAAACAAACACTTCTCTACCATAAGGTTACAAAAATGTATTCTTGGGCTTCCCTGGTGGTGCAGTGGTTGAGAATCCACCTGCCAATGCAGGGGACGCGGGTTCGTGCCCCGGTCCGGGAAGATCCCACATGCTGCAGAGCGGCTGGGCCCGTGAGCCATGGCCGCTGAGCCTGCGCGTCCGGAGCCTGTGCTCCGCAATGGGAGAGGCCCCGACAGTGAGGGGCCCGCGTACCGCCAAAAAAAAATGTATTCTTAAATTTTCATCTATCAGCTTTATAAATATTTTCATTCTTAACAGTTAGGTATTTAATCTACTTGGAGCTTTGTTTATGGTATGAAGTACAGAAATGGTTTCATTTTTCTCCTTTTGTGAGCCAAATTTCCTAGCACCAATTGCTGGGAATGATAACACTGAGTTCCCATATGTACACAGGGGTGAGTCTGGACTTTATTATATTCTGTTTCTGTGCTAGATGCTGGAGAACAAGGGGAGACAATTTTTTTCCTCTAAAGGGTCAGATTCAGCCTGTTGTAACTACTCAACCCTATCATGGAAGTATGAAAGCAACCATAGACAATAAATAAAGGAATGGATGTGGCTGTGTCCCAATGAAACTTTATTTGTAAGAAGAGGCAGCAGCCTGGATTTGGTTTGTGGACTGTAGTTTGCCAACTCCTGCTGTATAATGTTCATGCTTTGTAAAGAGAAGGTGCTTCTTTATTTATTCTCTCAAATAAATTTTAGATTCAACTACACCCCTTCAAAAAGACTCTTGCTCAGGCATTGATTAGAATTGCACTGAATTTAAATTTTAATGGGCTAAATATGACATCTTCACAATATTCAACCAATCCATTTATAAATGCTACATTTATGCTCTATAATACTAAAATAAAACTCTTGTAATAGGGTTTTAAACTTCCCTTATATGTTTTATGAATTCTTTCTTAGATTTATTCCTAGATAGCTTTTAGTTTATGTCAGTATTGTAAATGGTATCCTATCATCATCATAGTTTATAACTGGTTACTCCCAATACAGACAAAAGCTATTGATTTTTTTATGTTGTTCTTATAAGCTGGCAACCTAGCTGAACTCTTTTATTGCTGTTAATAGTTTCAGCTGATTCTCTTTGGTTTTCTATATAAATGATTTTACTTAGAAATAATTATATATTTCATTTCACTTATTCTACTTGTATTTGTCTTACTGCATTGGTCAGGTATCTGGTAATACGTTGGTAAGTAGAAGCAACACAGGCATTCTTGTCTTGCTCCCAATCTTAACAGGAATGAGTTTCAAGTTTTGTTTTCTCCATTAAAAATGACATCTGCAATTAGGTTTTTAGGAGAAAGCCTTTAAAAGCGAAAAAATTCCCTATTTCAAGTTTGCTCAAAAGAGTTGATTTCATCTGGAAAAAAAAAACTTTATTAAATGCTTTTTCTTTATCATTGATCACCCAATCTCTCATTCTTTGCCATTAATGTGGTAAATTACAGTGAAAGATTTTTTTAAACAGTGAAACTTCCTTTCACTTTTATGATTAATTCAACTTAGTCACAAGGTACTATTTTTTAATAACTTGCTAAATTTGAATTCTTTGTGTTTTTCAATGTCATGAGTCAAGTTGGCCAATATTTTTTACCTGTTTTTTGTTTTCAAAATTAAACTTAATGGCTTGGCTTCTTTCTTTGTTCTATAAGAAGTTTTACGAACAGGATTTTCTGTTCCTTGAGAATTAAACAGAACTTGCTTGTCAAACTGTCTGGGCCTCTTTTTATATTTCAGGGATGTGTAGTTTTGATTATCATTACAATTTATTTAATGGTTGTTAAGTGTTTTCTTGCATTAATTTTTTAGCCATATATC